ATTACCTCTCACATACATGTCAAATTACTAGACGGTAATTATGGTTTATAAATAATAATGCACTCATTTTATCATCAATAGAATTCTCTATTAAATATTCATTGTTCTTTCACTTGCATTACCAGTTCGTAAGTACAGTATATAGTTTATTCATAAAATAGTGTCCACATTTTATTGCCAATAGAGCTCTCTATTAAATATTACTTCTCTGTCCTGTCGCTTGTGGCTAAATTATCAGGGAGTATGTGTATAATTTATTCATAAAATAATGCTGACATTTTATTGTCAATAGAATATTAAATGTCACTTTATTTGTTATTTCCCTACGTGTTAAATTACTAGGGCGTAAGTATATATGTACTGCAATTTGTTCATAAAACAATGTACACATTTTATTCTCTATTAAAATATTACTCCCCTGTTCTTTCGCTTTCTATTAAATTACCAGGGCGTAATTATATAGTTTATTTATAAAATTATAACTCATTTTATTGGTAATGTAATTTTTTGTTAAATGTTATTTTCACTTGCGTGTTTAACTAGGCGGTTAGTTTCCCTATTAATTTATGATTCATTTGTTTCATAAAATTTAAGCGTCTTATAACATCAAAATCGATTTATTCACACAGATCTTCCATTTATGGAAACTGTAAAAAGTGTAAACAGTTTAACACTTTTTATGCCTGGTGTCAGACATGTGATTCCGAAATAAATGTTCAGCAAGGACGTTTAAGTGGAGATAGTGAGATTGATAGTTGTATTAAAGAGTTTCAACGTAAAGCTATGATGTACTCCGAGGTGATTGAATGGATTCCATTTTATAGACTGAAAAATGTTGAAAAAATTGGCGATGGGGGTTTTGGCACAGTATTTTCCGCAATCTGGTCAGATGGCATACGATCTATTAAAAATGAAAATGGAAAATACGTAAACTATCGTAGAAAATCAAATAAAGTTGCACTCAAAACGTTATCTAATTCTCAAGATTCTCAGGGAAATTCTTTTGATTTTTTAAAAGAAGTAAGTTTCGTCATATACTTAAAATGTTTAATTAAATATATGAAGTAAAATATTAAACTAAATTAATTAATAGTTTAAAAATCATATGGAGTGCAGATTATATGGTAGTGAACTAGAGATATATGGATTAACTAAAATATAGAGAATAATGAGTGCCTTAACCTTAAAGCTGGAGAATATTTGATGGTATTTCAATTTGCCGAAGATGGAAATCTTTATAAATATTTAAAAAATAATTTTACTAAGCTTACCTGGAAAAATAAATTATTGCAACTTATAGATATATCTAGTGATTTAGCAAATATTCACAAAGCAGGATATACACATTGTGATTTTCATAGCGGAAATATTTTACAGGATCGAGAAATATCTTATATTTCTGACCTCGGATTATCTAAAAAATTGAACATATTTCAACAAATGAAATTTTTGGAGTTATGCCCTATGTTGCACCTGAAGTTTTATTAGGTAAAGGTTATACACCAGCAGCTGATATTTATGGATTAGGCATTATTATGGTAGAAATGTCAACTGGGCAGAGACCTTTTGATGGTATGTCGTTTAATGACGGCCTTGCCATTAAGATTGTTGTTAATGGATTGCGTCCAGCATTTGCACCTGGAACTCCAGATTGTTATATCAAATTAGCTGAACAATGTATGGATTTAGATCCGCAGAAACGACCCACTGCTAATAATGTTGCCTTAAACCTTTATCATCAATATCGTTATATTACAAGTTCTAATATAAAGGATAAACTTTGTATAAAAGACAAATATTTGACTGCTGATGAAATGATTAAAACTTTGGATATTAGACCTCAAAACCATCCGGAGTCAATTTATACTGGCAAAATTATAAATACATCGAGGATAACGAGCAAAGGTATTTGGATATAGGTATTATAGTTTGTTCAAGTTTAATCCATTATACATTAACTATGAACTTGTTTTTAGTTGATCCGCTCTTAGTAAGTAAACAAATTGTTTATGTTGATATTCTTGAGGATTATTAAATATGTAACAGCCAATTTGGAGATCAATTTAAAAATATAGTTAGTTTATTTTCTACCGAAGTTACATTAAATAGCATAGAGTTTGATTTATATTTTTTAGTCAGTTATCATGCTTTTTAAATTATTATCAGAATATAAACCTGTGAATGGCTAAAAGTCATACCAATTTTCTTATCTGATATAGGATGATGGTTTTGGGAACAATTTTTTTTGTTGATAAACAGACAAAAAAAAGGACTCGTATAGCAAACATGAAAATCACATCATCCAATCAGATATTAAACCATATCTGATATAATGGATATAATCTACGTACTGTAACGAATGAATTTACATTCGTTACCGTGTATCAAATTTAATCTCATGTTTAATTTTATTTTATTATATCTTTTTATATAATTGTTTACTTTTATTCTATTTTATTCTATTTTATTATGTTATTTTATTTCGTATTATTTCATATATATAAATATTTTACCCAATGCCCGCGCGTATTATTAATTTTATTACAATGTAGATATTTTAATCAGTTATACTAAAATAGAAGTTATGAGTGGCTTGGTGGCTTAGATGCATGAAAATCAGATGCATCGTGAATACGCGGTAAATACCGCGAAGAAGTGGTCATAGCAGCGAACGCGTGATTATAACAACGAAAGCGATGAAATCACCGCGACTTCATAATAGTTATAGCGAGAAAGCTGAAAGTTCACAAACCGTTGTAAATTATTCAAATGTATATACTTTACAGAAACATGCTAATTTTTTCTAATCAATTTATTATAATATTAAAGATAATAACAATTATATCTTATAATAATCTTATAATAATCTTAAACAACAATCTTAAGATAATTTTATTATAATTTTATAATTATTAAACTATAATTTTATTATTATTTTTATATATTAAATCCTAAATTTATAATAAAATAATCTTTTAATTATAAAAATATTATATTAATATCTTTAATATTATCTTAAGATTATTGAAAAAAATTAGCTAGTTTCTGTAAAGTAGTATCTTTTATTTCAATAAAGTCAAACAAGTTCCACGTCCTTCATAAAAATAAAAAAAAAGGTAGCAACGTAAAATACTTATAAAATACTTATCGATTATAAATTTCGACCTTAACATTAATAAACCCTTTCGTAACTCAATTCGACGGATTGAATCTTGTAACCTCGATACGGCTTATTAAGACTCGTAACTGACGTCTTACGTTTTCGGTCTTGATCACGTGATTTCGTTTGGAAGTGCTCTCGCCTAAAGAGAAGAATTAATTTGAAACGAGAAAAGTATTAACCCCACCTCCTTTGGCATCACCACCATCAGAGATTTTAAAATTTTAGGATTAGAATCGTGATAGCTTATCGCTTTAATATCAATATCCGTTGATATCATTTTCTGATCACCTTATTCCATAATTGTCCCTAAGACAAGTCTTATACATAATTTGAAACATTTTTATAGGACCTCAGTATCAATCAACCATTAGTTTCCGTTGATTCATCGTTGAATATTAAAATTCCCGAATATCATCATTTAAATCATATTAAATTTACCTTCGTTCCAAAGATTGATTAATTTTAAGACAGATTTGTATTTTTCTTCGTTTATAAAAATCCCAATTCCGTACTCGGTTGGAGCTTCAAATTGGTTCTATTGTCTATAATTGTTCTCCGCTCTCCCATTCAACCGTTACAGTACGTACCTCCGTTCCTTTTTATATAATTTACTAATTGTGCCGACAACTATAAAATATGTTAACTACACCAACATTGATTCGTTGTCAAGAGAAATGGTTTATTGAAGAAGCAATTAAAGAATTATTAAACTTTGCAAAAATGTGTTTATTGGGTTTATATGACCCAACAACTTACGTTGATACTATATCATTTTCTAACAGTATCATTTCTCCAATAATCATTATCCCGACAATTATCTTGTTTGCAAACAATAATTTTCACCGACAATTATTTACTGATAATCGTTTTCCCAAATACTCTCTATATTCTTAATATTTTACTCCTATAAAAAAAAAACATTAATCCAAAAATTTAAATAAACCATTCATGAGTATTTATTGTTTAATTTTATTTCAGCAACGGATAAGGAATATTCATTAATATAAATAATTTAAAATAAGCTATTCGTTATTAATTTACTTTATTTGCGCATCTTTAAATGATTAAAGTTGCATCTGACAAAGTTAATCACTGAAATTAGATCTTGCTCTATTCTAATCAGAAACGGTTTAGATGCTAAAGCAGCGACTTCAATCAAATGTTAGCTTTAAGCACATAGGTGCTATATACATAAAATTAGTAAGTCAAAAAAAAACGCATCACAAATCCTTGACCGAATTGGCAAAAAATAACGATGTAAACTTAGCCTCTGCAAATTAATGATGGGTGACGCAACCACGTGATGCTAATTGTCACATGTTTTTACTTATAAAAAATCAACATCAATTTTGATTTTTTATAAGTAATAGCATGTGACAATTAGCATCACGTGGTTGCGTCACCCATCATTACTGCAAATGCCAGGCATGTGTTAAGTACCATTTTTAATAATTTGTGCCTAGAATTTGCGAAGCCCTAATGTAAATGACATACAAACAGCATATATGAAAAAATAATTTTTTATTATATCACTTCCTCAGGTATGAATGATACAAATGAAAACTCGTAAGTTCTTATGGACTAGATCACTTTAACCTTAACCGATTTAATTTCTAATACTGTAATGTCATCAAAATTAAATTCTATGATATTAACTTAAGAAAGCAAGCTACAGGTAAATAAGTTATTATTAAATTATTGTTTAAAAATATAAATTTTCTTTAGTAAACATTTCTATCTTGTATTTTTTTTTTAATACGAAAATTACCATATTATTTCTTTTTTCATTTATTATCCTTAATACTTATTATTATCATTTTCAACACCTTCACTTTCGTTAATTCTTTTCAACTTTAAAATGAATACAATCATCAATTGGTCCTCTATCACCAGTTGTCACATTAACACATTGGTGAGCTTTTGCTGTTGTATATGTACAAGCTCTATAGGTTCCTTCTTTAGTTAATCCAGGAACAGAAATTTGATAAGTGCCAGTTGCGTTTGGTAAGAAATTTATTAGAGTAAAAAATGCAAAGGTTGTTGGATCAGGTACATTATCTAGTGATGGTATTTTTTGTATAGTGAAGTGATAATGACCAATAACATTCCCATCTCCATTAATTGCTTGTGGAAATTTATCAAATTCTGTGGATTTATTGGAAGCTGCTCCAGGTTCAAAATTTACAAATTTAAATTCAAAAATAGTACTTTTATTAAGAGAAATAACTCTATTATAATCTGGTTTTGTGATTAAAACAGAAGGAAGATTGTTTGCTTATGGAACTTCTTCAAGAACTGTATTAGAACAAAATCCTGTAAGTTGTTCTGATGAAAAATTCACTGGTGGCAATTTGGAATTTTTGCAAAAATTTGTACATGTTCCTTCATTGCTATCATGTCTTTTAACACTTTTAGGAACTGCGTGTACAGAACAAGTTGTTAAAATGAGGACAATGTAAAAGATAATAATATATTTCTTTAGATTCGATATGATTTAGCAATAGCGTTAAGAAAAAAATTATAGGAGTCTTTATATAGTTTTTTTAATGTTCACTTAGGTTATGTGATGAGATCTATGCACAATATACTTTTTTGATTGTAGAACTTTCACAAGGCTGTACATAATTAATGTTAATTAAAAGAAATTCCATGTTAAGATTTATTTCTTGGCATTGGGCTTCGTTCTCTCAGTCAAACGAATAATTTCTATGGCCAGCAACACAGTTGTGCTTAAAAAAAATTAGCATCTAGTACTGTACATATTCAGGGAGACAAAAAAATGTATTTACACGAATAAATTCAGTATCACCTTAAGAATTACTTCATGAATATTTACAAGCAAGTTATTATTATTATATACAGTAATCTTAAATGTGGTTAGTTTGTGGAACCTTCACAGGACTATGTGTAGCAATCAAGGGAATGGCATATGTACAAGCTCTTATTGCTATTGCAGCACTGTTAATATCTTTTAGGAAATCTTGCATCTCTGTGTCGTTAGGTAAATACAGTCAGACTTCTTAAAATATAACCCTAATGCAATATCTCTTAAATGCATCATTAAACTCAGGCCCAAATATGTGTTAGACCCCTTAAATGCAATTTTTTTATTGTTCTTCAAATGCAAGCTGCCAAAAGTTTGATCTCTATGAAAGTTTGTACTGCATTATGGTTTGACTAAATGCATTTAAAGAATGAAATACAAGATTCATTAATATACAAAAATCCAAATACTTAACTGCATTGTAACTAATTTATTTATTATTAAATTTACTAATAACTACAGTCAAGTCTCCCTAAATGCAATTCGTAGGATTGTATTTAAAGAAGTAGGGGTTGCATTTGGAGAGATTTGCCTGTATGTAGTAAATTGCATATTAAGATGTTTAGGTTCTAATGATACTTTTCTGTAATGTTTGTATAATATAATATAGAGGTAAGATAGTATCATTCATTTTAAATAAAATTTTGTAAAATTTTAAAACAACCTTTTTTTAAAAAAAATTTATTAAATTCGGTTAAATTATTGTTATTTAATTCAGTTTCGTGTGTGTGTGTATGTGTGTGTGTGTGTAAAAATTTAGTGCATTCTACTAATTCACCCCATATGCTATGCTAAAGTAACAGAATCCCATGTCAAAACTAATCAGAGCGAATATTTCCATGGTTTGCTTAACATTTTTGCATTTAAAAAGATTAGTACACCATGCGGAGGCATGCAAAATTCTGGATCATTAACGAACAAGTCCGGTAACTCACAACAATGTGCTTTGTACTGTACATAAACAGGCAGGTTAGTTTATTATAATCTGCGGTATTGATTACACAGTGGATATGTATAGTAATTAAGAATAGTGGGTATGTGCACGAGTCTTTATTGCTATTGCAGCATTGCTATCATCATCTACTGGAAAATCTAAATTGGTTGATAAGGAGATGCTGCACTATATATTACATTGGGGTGTTCGATGCAAGTCTAATTACAAACATAGTGCAGGTGATATAGTGATATAATTAATCAAAATATTTTTTTTTGAATTATCGTTCTACTAATTACATATCAGAGTATCTATGCTATTAATCAATTTTTATGGGTACTCAAATAGTAAAAGGGGTGGTGCACATTTCGCCGACAATCACATCACTGACAGCTTAGTTCACCGACAATTAATTCACAGACAAGTTCATTTCACCGACAAAGAAATTCTGGTCATTGTCGGTGAAATGAGCTGTCAGTGAAATAATTGCCGGTGAAATGAACTTGTCTGTGAATTAATTGTTGGTGAACTAAGCTGATTGTTGGTGAAATAACAGAAATAATATGTATTCTAGCAAAAGCATATAAAATTCAAATTGCAATAACACTTGAACCAGCAAGCTCACACAAATAAAATTATATTATCGAGTTTATTTTAACGTGCTCTTTAAAGCAGCAACGCTCTTTTTTTTATTTTCATTGTCTGGAGCATAGTGAGGGCTCAAAGTGGTACCAAAATTCTCGTTTTTGATGCATTTTTAATAAAAATACTAAAAGCGTAACTTTGAAGTTTCTACGCAATGGCGATAGACAGAAAATTCTAAATTATGCTTTTTGATATTTTCATTAGAAATATATCAAAAGCGAGAATTTTGGTGCTACTTTGAGTCCTCCGCTATACTCCAAATATGAAAATAATAATAAAAAAAAGAGTGTTGTTTGCTTTAAAAAGTATATTAAAATAAATTCTATAAATATGATTTATTTATCAATAAGTAATAAAAAAATTTGATTAATGATCATCACTACAGCAGAGGTCTATAACCGCGTAGAAATTGCATCTGGTACGTCAGCATAGCGGGCTTTCATCATGATTGGCTAATTTTCATAGATCATCCCGTGATATTGTGGAAATTTTATTGGTTAATCAAAATTTCAAAACTTAAAATTAAATCATTGAATAAAATGAATTTGAGAAAGCTAATGATATAAAAATAATTATACTTGTGGCAAATTTGATATTAGCAAAAGTCTTTATAACGAAATTTTGATAACTTTTAACCTAAAATTATACTCTTTCACAAATAAAATTTCAACCACTCAGATTTTATTAATGAACCCCAATGTACTGTACATACAGTACATACTATAAATAAAAAGAAAAAGAAAATAAAAATTAAATAGAATAAAACAAGAAATGAGATTTAACCTATTCTAGAATACTATATAATAAAAAATAAATGGAAACAATCTTAAACTTCGTCTCTGCTCTAACATCAAACTGATCTTTAATTTATTTAATAATTAAAGAGTGCCACTAATTTGCATTAACTCTTCTCATGAAATCTATAAGTCTTATAAGTCGCAATTTCATATTACTAGCCTATATTATAGTCAAGTTGTTTTATTAGTTGTGATCACGAAGAATAAGATTTACAAATAAAAGGCAGCTTAAATTGCTGAGTTTAATTGACTATTATATATGTAGGCTAAACTTAAACGTCTAAATATACCTCTCAACTAACTTCTGAATTACTTCGTGGATTACTGAATTATTTTAATAGTATATAAAACGAAGCTTCTACTTTTAAATTTTTTTTGTCTTAACCTTCTACAATTCATACTCATGGTTTACAATCCACTTTTGTGCCTGCGAAACATTACTCTAATATGTGAACATATTGTGTAATATTTCATCTGATCATCTAATCAAAATTAAAGCCCACTATGCTAAGTACGTCAAGTATAGTTGCGCAACCAAAATTCAGCAGATCGGCCAGAATTTAGGGCCGAAATAGGCCAAAATTAACAAATTTCACCCAAATTTTTACCAATAAACCGGCAGCCTATATATTAAGTAAAATTTCTTAGCTACTAATTTTGCTATAGTACAATGCTAGTATGGTTAACCAATATTATTGCTTAATGCCGGTCAAGCTCCGGCCTATTCCGGCCTAAATTCCGGCCGATCTGCTAAATTTTACTAAGGCCATGCAAAGTTAAATTTTCGTTTACTGTAACATTATCCGCTGACCCAGTTTTTTAATTTTTCTAAATTTTTTTTTTTTTATATCTCAATTGTGCCAATTTATTTTTTCTGCAATTTTTATCCAGTATCACCTGAGTGAGATACACGATATCCCAGAATTATCTGATATGACCAACAGAAAAAAACAACAGCCAACCAATTTTCTAATTCCTTGTTAAGCAAAAAAACGAATAACTTTGCATAACCTTAAAAGACGAACATAATTCTATTAATTTA